TTCTAGCTCCCATGGATGTGCACCTGGTAAAAATAAAATGTTCAAAATATAACACCTAGGTATACAGGTACCTATTCAGGCCTGGCCTGATTTCTTTCCAAGTATTTATGGATGTACCTATCGATTATAAATCACTACAGTGAAAAAAAGTGGTTCGTTCAATCATGATAATGAATGAAAATGAAATAATATACCTATATCGAAAACGATGTCGAAATACCCATGTCAGTTCTATAACATAACATAATTGCAACATTCAATTATTCTCGAACGTTTGGAAATTGCTGGGTACTTCAACTTCACGAAATATCGGCAAGATTTGATTGTTCGTTTAGGTACCTACCCTACCATCGAGTATTTGAATTATAGTTATGAACGAATGCATCTCTTGCTGTTCCTGTAAAATCAATAATTCTCGACGTATTTTACTATACCTCACTATCGAGCTGCGACATCTGTGCGTGTCCTACGCAACTATCTAAATTTACTTGGGCGAGTCACTGCAATGCAGTTTCCTGTATCATTTCGATTTCAACCTGATCCGATGATTTACCGTCCGATAAAATACGGTGTCGACGAGTTACGGTTTCTATGAAATACAGATCTGCTGAATTACCAGTTATTCAATATGGAGAATTAATGTTGATGAAATACGGGTTTGACAAATTACTGATTCTATGAAATACGGATCTGATGAACTACCGTTTCTATAAAATACGGGTTTGACAAATTACAGATGCTATGTAATACGGGTTCGATGAATTATCGTTTCTATAAAATACGGGTTCGATGAATTACTGATTCTATGAAATACGGATCTGATGAATTACCGTTTCTATAAAATACGGGGCTGACAAATTACTGATTCTATGAAATACGGATATGATGAATTAACGTTTTGATAAAATACGGGTTTGGTGAATTACTGTTTCTATGAAATACGAATCTGATGAATTACCGATTCTACGAAATTCGGTTATGATGGATTATTGGTTTGATGAAATACGGTTCTGACGAATTACGGTTTCTACAAATTACGGTTTCGCTGAATTACAAATTCGATAAGTGTTCACTCTGATAGATTGATGTTTTGATGGAATACGGATCTGAAGAATTGCCGTTTCGATGCTCAACAGGTTCTATACGATATTGTCTCGATATAATACGATTTTGATGATTTACTGTTTCGATGGAATACGGTTATGATGGATTACCAATTCTAAAAAATAAGGTATGATGTTTTACTTTTCTATGAAGTACATTTCTTCGTTTAACTGTATGATGAGATACATTATGATCCTTTATATTTTGATGAATTATTGGTTCTATGAAGTACAGTTTCTACAGAATGCCATTATGATAGAATTCGATTTGATGAAATACGGTTTTGATACAATACGATCTGACGAAATATATGTACCCCCGCAGGACTATGCAGCAAGGTGCTACCTTCAGGTGCAGAAGTGGCGGGGAGTAAACTTGAGTCCTACAGATAGGAGGGGGAAGATATGTCTTCTCATCAGGGACTCACTCCCATGTCCACCACTATATGCATCTCGCACCTCTTGCTCTTCTGCGAAAGATCTCATGTAAATGCATGAAAGGGTGGCCTGGGAGCTGTTCGGGCAGAAAGGCAGGGCTCCACTGCTCTGTCCTCTGCCAGTCATGCGGTGGCAAATTGTGCACCAATTTGTGTGTGTAGAGTTGAAATGCTCTGATGAAGATGTCAGTTTTATTTGATGTTACGTAAATGTAATTTGTCCTTAAAGTAGGTACCATGATGTTTGTGCAAGCATTTCATTATGTAGGTATATGTAAAACAACGTTTGATAATGGCGTTATTCCGCAAAGATATACATGGTGAATTTCCCTTTTCTCATGCGCCCTGTACAACCGTCCTAACAGTTGTGAGAGAAGTAGCGCTGGTAAATTGCGGAGACTCCGTGCGGATTGTCAGAAAACATGGCGTTATTTAAATCTAACGATTCCTATGTTACGGCACGGCGAGTTTTTCGAAAATTGGGGACACCACTTTCCCGACAAAACCGCCAGATCTTACACCCCTCGATTTCTTTGTGAGGATATAGAGCATCGTCTACTCCGATCCTCCAGCCACTACGGAGAAGTTAGACGACAACATTCGACAGGTAATTAACAACATTCCTATTGAAATAGGAATATGTGTCAGCGGCTCAGATCAGCGGGTATTCCAATATTCAAGAGAATCATTGGAGGAGTGCTATGAGATGGATGGAATCCTCATCCCTGTACGTTTAAAATCAATGATTAATATTATCGCAACACTTTTAATTTTGTTTTCATACCATATTGAAAAAGTCACCCTGTTTTATCTTTTCCATTTTCCAGAAAATTAATATTGCTTAGGCTTCAAAATTAATGGTTCGCTCACAATTTTATTATATTTGATTAATTCATATTTAATTTCAACATCACAACTTTATTAATGTTAATAAAAAGTTATTTTTATATTAACAAAACTCAAAGAGGGGTAGATAGGTTGAAATTCAAAGAGGCATTTTATGTTAAAAAATAGTTTATTCTGAACTGAAAGATGATTCCAGTGATAATATAAAATTAACCTAAAAATGACTAAGATAGTATGTCACCTACCGAGTAGGTAGATTCCACCATAAAAGCTATATTTACAAAAATGTATAAACAAAACTTTGGTGTTCTCCAGCTATCACAAAAAAAAACAAAATAATATATTCATACATAATTTAGAAATTATTTTTTTACAAAATCTCCTGAGAAACCTAACCATTCAAAAGGAAATATCAAAACTCAGATATTTCAATGTACAGAAAATAAAAGCTAATTCCAAAATAAAAGGTACATTTTGTGAGGGAAAACATAAACTCTATAACTTCATTAATATAAGAAGGTTTAACCTAAACAACATCACGATTTATATTTAATCAACTTCATTTTGTTTTATATCGATCAATGAAACACAGTTTCGGAGATGTATTAGACAGTCTTAGTTTTAACTAGGGAATCAATCAGAAACACTCTAGAGATAACCAATGTACTCTGAGTCACCTACCTATTTATCAGTACCACAGTCAGTACCAACGTTATTCACACTTTTCCAGAACGCTACCAAATGCGATTCTAAAATATTCGAGCGTTATTGCTGAAGAATATCCAAAAATTGATTCCTAGATTCAAAGGCAACACTATGGTGATGGGAAAACACATTACGGAAATTCTTGTTGATCAATCAACTAGTAATAGAGAGTACTTCAAGAAGTCCAGATAGGGCTTCTTCGCAAGATATTCAAATGCAAGTTCTGAAATTCTGCAAGTATGCAAATCCTGTCAAGGGCGATTTCAGAATATTTTGTTCATCATATTAGTAGGTAGTATTAGTGTTTCAAAATCACAATCACACGCTCTATACTGGTATAATTGGAATGATCGGTTGGCATGGCTGATGTTATTGCTTTTATTGCTTGAATTAATAAAACAATAATTCAGCATGAGGGGGATTATTGAGTATTCAGCCTGCCAATTCGTCGGTTGACTGTACCTCTTCAGACTCTCGATCGTCAATGGAGATGATCTTGAGGCGTTCTAACAAACATCCTCCAACTTGGGGAAGTATATCATCGAAACCTCAATCAGTGCGCCTGAGAAAGCAGTGGGCTAACGAGGCCAATATCAAATTTCAACAAAAAAAAAACTGAATTAATTCAGAGTGGAATTTGATCACAAATACATAACCCTTTATATGGTTGAGAAGCTTATTGAAGTGGTATGAAAATAGTATAATCTGCCGGCTGGTTGTTGGTGGTACTCAAAGTACCAAAATAAAAATTTGCTACTTTTCATGACCTTAGTAATGCCAGGGAAATTTTCTGGACCTTCCCAAAAATCGTTGCGGGAACATCATTTTTCGGCTGGGTGTTTAAAAAACATACAGACCCGAATCTCTCAATTTTGTACAGAAAATGATTGAGGCACATCTTCATTTGAAGCAACACTAATCAAGAATCGAACAGATAAGTGTTTAGTTTTTCATTTGCGACAATAAATGAAGAATGAAATACGCGCTGTCGTAGAAACAATATAATAACTTGGTGTTCATGAGAAGGAGGTCAATCCGTTGACCATATATTTTTTTTACGATTTCTTTATGCCTTTTTTTATTCTAGGCTACAATGTTTGTTACACAGTCAACAACAAATGCTCTCAGTACTTCAACGTAACGTAACGTAACCTAACGAGCAAAATTAATGAAAAATAATTGGCAAACCATCAAAAACATGGAAGTTCAGTAGCCACTGACATCCCCTGATGTTTCTCAGTACCTGCGCTAGTGACTGCCTAACTATTTTTTCATATTATATATATTATTTATTTTGGATAAGTATATTTGTCTTTCATGGAATTTCAATGAAATGATTGTTTTCAGAGATAATTAGGAGAGTATTGATACGTGAGCCGCGTAGACATCAATCAACGGCCAACATACGTTGAAAAAAATTTCTGGAACTTCTGATTTCATCAAAATTTCATAATGGACAAATAATGATCCAGATTGCTGTGGCACTGGTACTGAAAAACGGAGGAGCTAATCATTCATTTTTTGCCTCTTGATAAGCTGCATTAACCAAATTAGAATAGTTTTATCGATATTTCAAAAGCGGAAAAAATTTATCTAGAACCATTGATCTCGATAAAACAGGCATGAAGCACACTGAGGAAAAAAAATGTGTGTATGCGTATTGAAAATCTCTCCAACGAAAAATATAAAAACGTAACACCTTTATGGCTGGACACAGTTTTCACATTGGTGCAAGTAGGTCTATATATGTACTAATCCATACCTTCGGTAACTTTTGTTTCATTTTGATTAAAAGATGCGACGTAGAAGAACTGCAACGAATATGAAAACTTTTGAATTTATATGCTACTGGGGTAATTGGATATGGAACCCAATATAAGGAATGGCACAAGAACAGCCATTTAATTTTTGTTTGAAGAAAATATGTCCACCGAATTGGGATTTTTCATGTTCACCCGAACAGGTGGTAATGACGCTGGTGCCAATAAGTGTCCAGACGAAATAAAATCCACAGATAGTGTTTTCGATGCATGACTATGAAAATAAACATTTTATTATACGATATATACAAACAAAAATGAGTTCAACAGGGAACCGAAAGACTATCCGATCAAACAGCTAGACTTTGACCCTGATGAACATGGTGTCGTCTTCCATGATGTGCTTCTTTTTGATAATCTCATAATCATCATTCAGTTTGGATAAGTACGTATAAGTGTTTCACGACATCTCGATGAAAGGAATATATATGATTAGCGAAACTCTTTTTCATGGGCATCCAAAAAGTGTTTCGCTATTCGATAATCAATTTTGAATATGACTCTAATTCATAATCGTATCTGAAGAATTCCTGAAAACAATGCGATTGACGCTGGTGCCTATAATAAATGAACAGATAAAAATACCTAACCCCCTGAAGATCGATCAACCTTATAAATCCCAATGGAACGTGGTGACTCTTTAGAGCATCAGGGAACCGACACACCATCCTATCATACTGCCACGATCTTACTAGAATCGACCTTGACCCTGATGAATATGGTGTCGTCTTTCATGAAGTACCTCTTCTTAAGCGTCTCGAGCGAAACGAATTTGGAAAGCCGAAACCTAACGAATCCGGCCTATGGAAATTCTTCCACGTGTGGTCGGGAATGAACCTCTCCACGATGTTTCAATGACTAATTGGGTACGAAATCACATCTGGTGAGTTTCTGTTAAAACTTAGATTGACGCTGGTACCAATAACCTCCTCACACTATCAATCTTTTAATTTTCAATGAAACGTGCTGTCTGTCTAGAGTGTTTCCAATTCCTGAATATATAACAGTGACTATTTCCGAATGTACATTTTTTACAATATCTACAAACAAAAATGAGATCATCAGGGAGAAGCAACAAACTATCCGATCAAACGGCCACGATCTTACTAGGATCGACCTTGACCCTGACAAACATGGTGTCGTCTTTCATGAAGTGCCTCTTCTTGAGCATCTCGTGTGAAACGAATTTCGGAAAGCCACAACCTAACTAATCCGGCTCCAGACTGGGCCTCTGGAATTTCTTCCACGTGTGGTCGGGAATTAAACTCTCCACGATGTTGCAATGACTAATTGGGTACAGAATCGCTTCTGGTAAGTTTCTGTTGAAAATGAGATTGACGCTGGTACCAATATCTTTCCCGCACTATTAATCTTGTGACTGTCAATCAAACGTAGTGCCTGTCTAGAGTGTTTCCAATTCCTGAATATATAACGGTGACTATTTCCGAATGTACATTTTTTACAATATCTACAAACAAAAATGAGATCATCAGGGAGAAGCAACAAACTATCCGATCAAACGGCCACGATCTTACTAGGATCGACCTTGACCCTGATAAACATGGTGTCGTCTTTCATGAAGTGCCTCTTCTTGAGCATCTCGTGCGAAACGAATTTCGGGAAGCCGAAACCTAAGGAATCCGGCTCCAGACTGGGCCTCTGGAAATTCTTCCACGTGGGATCGGGGATGAAGCTCTCCACGATGTTGCAGGCCTTTTCCGGGCAGGAGGACTGGTCGAACAGGGTGAAGGAAACGGAATGGGCGAAGGGCCACCGCAGGAGGGCGTCGTACTCTCCGGGCAGAATTTTTATGTAGACTGAGATGTGAGAGTCCTCTCCTGCTCCGTTTCCGTTCGGGAACAATGAAGCCTGAAAAACACAATCAATGATTATAGAGAAGCAAAACTCAAAATACACTTCTCAAAGAAATAAACGCAACACCAAAAAATAGCCAAAAGTTTAGGAACCATTTTCGTCAAAAGTACTTGTCCGATTTGTATGTTTTTTGTTTTGAATGACAGGTTATTACCTTTTGAACATTGGTATGCAGATTGTATTCGCATAAAATCCTTCTTTTTATACATACCAGGTGTAGCAGTTACAGCGGTTTCTCAGGATATTTGTAATACCCTGTAGAGTTTAATAGTTACACTATCCAGTTAGAACTCAAATCACAGTTTAGCCTTATCTTTTTCAACATTTTTACTCCATTATCTTTTCTATAACTCAAGAAACACCATTTTATATAGCGCAACATGATTTTATGAAAAATTATTATTAAAATTGAATAATGGAAAAACGAAACAAAATGCGAAGTCACGAGTTAAACAGAAGGGTCAGTAGCGAGTATTCCCGCCGCGGGCAGGAAAAACTCATTCTTGGCAAACATATACCCAAAATAAGAGACCTAACGCCATGTTGGTACATGTCTTCCAAAATTTGAGTACGAACGCCCCACAAGCAGTGACAGTGTGACATAACCATATAATAACGATTTTGTTTTGTCAGAGGAGGACAAGAATATGTTTTTTGTTTGGATAAAGGCATCTCGCATCTTCCTTCTTCTACATGTCCGGGAGGAGTACATCCATATATGTTTATTTGTCTCATTTTTGAATGAGAGTGCATAGCGTGGGAAAAAGGGTACGATGAATTGATTAAAAAATTAGTTCTTCTTCAAATATGGAATGATAGGGCTGAAGAACCTCGATGGAAGGCGATGGCTAGTTGGTATGTACATATATACAATAAAAGTAAATATAGGTACTATTACTATGAGATGATAACGAACTGAGAGGGAAGTTACAGTTACGTTCAGTGGTTCATTTGGATAGTTTTTGGAGGACAAAAGTTCAGAATGGGGTTACAATTGACAAATCACAACCGATAAAACAAACTTTTATTTCAGATGGAACATTTTTTCTCATACAAGAGTGGTAGGTGATGAGTATTCTTGAATGAACAAATAATATAGCAATAATAACAGGATATTAGATACATATCAATATGAAGCAATAGTATGATGCTTTCATGATACTTTAGTTAAGATGAATAATAAAGATTTTCCAAGGCATACAGAATAGGTAACCATAAAATATGGCTATACACTATACAGCGCTGGACTCACTAGAGATCACGGTTCGTTGTTCGTTCGAAATCTGGAAAATTATTTTCAATAACAATAAATGGTGCACGGGTTGAGTGTTCTTGTCCTGCCAACATATTTTGGCACCCCAGAAGTTTTTCGAATTCCACTATATAAGCTATAGATGTCCCGCACTTCTCAACTACGCACAAATTACGGCCTAGGCTTTCAACTTTGAAGAAGTGATACACAAATAACTCAGTTTGACAAACCTTTCAAATTTATGTCATGTATGTTCGTGTACTGTCAGTTCCCGACTTTAAATCAGTAGGGTCAAGTTCAGTTGTGTGCATAATCAATTCGTTCAAGGAATGTATGGTGTGAACCTGTCTATAATTCCATATTTCATTAAAAAGTAGTACACGTACTCATTTGCGCGTTACTGACAGAAAAAAGATTGAACTTGGCACTAATTGTCAAAGTCGATAAGAAAATCAATCAAGATTGACAAGCCTGGCTCACAATAGCCTATAACTGCTGTACGACTTGCTTATGCACACAACTGTACATCAAGGAAATCTACAAGTTACGTTCCTCTTGTAATTTGGTCCTAATAATGTCCCAGGAATTTTCAATGGGATTCAAATGCGTGCTCCGAATGGGCAATGCAATTGTAGCGATACAGACTTCCTCTAGATAATTTCTCACAATTCGGACGACGTGAGACTTGGCATTATCTTGCATCAACAGAAATCCTTACACTATAATCATGTGGTTCTAAAATCACCGATATGTTCCTTCTAGCTAAGGCTTCCATTTATTATCACAAGTTACATGAGACTAGTCAAATGAATGCCTTCCCAAAGCATATTCTGATACTTTCGTGCTCACAATGCCAATTGAATTCAATAAAATAATCTTATGCTTTAAAATTGTGTTTCTGGAGAAATAGGAAGGATAATAGAGTGAATCCAAAAAAATTATGTCGAGAAAGGTAAGGCTGAAGTGTAGGTACTTTCAATTTCAACTTGATAACGTTGCTGTGACACTCCACAAGGTATTGCAGATCACATGAAAATAAAAACACGCTAGCTACACCCAGTATTCATGAAAAGAAGGTTCTTATGCGAATACAGTTTGCACACCAATGTTGAGAAGGTAATAACCTGTCATTCAAAACAAAAACGTTCTAATCAGAATAGTTATTTTTGTAGCTAGAGCGCGAAATGCAACTTTGGTGATCGAGATCTGATTTTTTTAACGAGGCGTAGCCGAGTTAAAAAAATAGTCGAGATGACCAAAGTATTTCGCGCTCAAGTTGCAAACAAAATTTTTTCTACAAACGTCAGAAAATATAGTTCTGAAGTGAAGATATGCTCAGCTTGATATAAAAAATAGTGTTGAACTGGCTTAAAAGGCCTCCCCCTATCCTCCCTTGGTATGCACAATGTTCCACGAACATAATATAAATTTTCTTTCGTGCGCTTCAAGAGATAAAACAAAGTTATTGTTGAACATTCAGAAATAAATGATTTCGTGGATGCTTGCTCGATTGGGAACCATCAAGTTGAAATATAAATATCTCATATATTTTACATAACAATGCGCGAAATAGGTACTTCGCGCACTGTTTTACTTCGCGCATTGTTTTGTGCAAGGTATCATGGTAACGTAGGAAACTGAAAAAATGTGTCACTTCGCAATTTGTTATCAATGCGCGAACCTTGTAATTTTTTGACGTTTGTAGAAAAAAGTAGTTTTGACGAAAATGTTTCATCAACTCTTGGCTACTTATTGGTGGTGCGATAACTTCTTGGAGAAGTGCATGTTTTCAATGGAATTGACAAGCTATTAGCTACCATTTATCCTACGCCAAAATCAAATGGACCTACCTGCAGTTTGTACCCATATTGACTAGTGTAGAAAGGCGGCGAGACCAACTCCATCCCCTCCTTGTTCTTGGCCTCGCCCATCTTCCCCGCGAAATCGCTGATCTTCCAGATCAGGGTCCCGGAGTAGTTGAGCGACAACCTCGACAGAGCGCTCTTCAGCGAGTTGATCTGGTGCTGCTGCTTTGACACGACTCCGCACATCAGCGACAGGTGCTGCTGGCAGCTCTCCTCCAGGTGCTTCTCCATGGTCTTCCTGGTTTCAACAAACTGGATATTAGTTTAATGGATAATTGAAAATGTTCGGTAGTGATGCAGGGTTCTGTAACTTGAGTCGGTACTAAAGGCGATTCAAAATAAGCGACACGAAACTTTATTACCATCACAGAGAGAAAAGAATTTATTATACAAGGGAAAAAGTAATAGATTTCAGCTGTAGGTTGTCTTGATTAGCCGAGTACGCAAATTTTGCGAGTCGAACAAAGTCACTTTTGATCCGAATGATACATCCTATATTTTCTGCAATCGAAATAATTGATACCTAATTGATAAAATATAAGTGGAAATACCAATATTTTGAGTCACTTGAGCATGTCAGTGTCAAAGCAGCTATTATATCAGCTGTCATCCTACACGTTTTTAGTTCCTAGGAGTTGAACTCCAACTTTAGCTCCTAGACACTGAAAGTGTTGCCTAGCAACATACATACTAATCATTTTTTTGTGTCAGTAAGAGAAACGGCAACTTCAAGACCTAATTTTGGAACAGAAACGGGCGACTTTTGAGCCGATTGCAAGAAATAGTAGATTGTTTTATTAGGATCAAAAGTGACACTTTGTTTGACAAGCGAATTTTGCATTTGCGAGGCGGAGCGTTTAGCGAAGCCGAGCGAAAGCAAAATTTGCGAGTCGAACAAAGTAACTTTTGATCCGAATGAAACATGCTATTTTTTCTGCAACCGAAACAATTAACTCAAATAAACATGTGTAGTAACCACCAATGCCGTGCCATATGTATGCAATGCAACAAATGTTGACAAATAATCCATGTGGTGAGAATATTCTACCTGCATTAACAGCAGGTTAGGTTTTCTAGGATGTTCGAAATGTAGTTTCAATATAAATACAACCACAGAGTGATATATTTGTGCATGGACCAGGTGTTCTAATGACAAATACCGCGGCAGTGCCAGCTATAGGAACAAGACGTGGAAAATGTTAGGTTAGTGAGCATATCAACAATGATAATAGTGATTATTCATTCCTCTCCATACTACACTGTGTTTGACTTGATAATCAAATAAAGCTAAACAATATCGTTGTTTGAGACAAAAAAACTATTGCTTGCCGTGATTATTCAAAAACAAGTCATCCATCCCGAGAATAACGAATGAAATACAGATGAAGCAAGTATTTGAATCTTGAAGGCTCCCCTGATCAAAACAAAAATACTTAACTGAGATGTTTATAATTCCAATACCAAACTATAATAAGGTGTATTTATATCTCCAGCATGGGTATGAAATGCCAAATCTGCTGAAATCGGAAACAAATCAGGTATGCGTCTCAACCCAAATAACCAACCGTCATAATGTTGTTTATTCTTGATGACGTCCAGTACATCCTTTTTAGTTCCTAGGAGCTAGAGTTCAACTTTAGCTGCTAGGAACTAAAATTCAACTTTAGCTCCTAGGAACTAAATATGTTGCCTAGCAACATACCTATTTTTGTGTCAGTAATAGAAACGTCGATTTAAGAGCTAATTTTGGTATCAAAAGTGACGACTTTTGTGTCGGTTGCAGAAAAAAGTTATTTATGAAAAGTGACAGTTTGTAACCTATCAACAGAGATGAAATGTCAAATTTTTGCCATTACGGAAGTATTATAATTATTCTCCTTACTTTGATCCTTTGAAGCGACACCCGGCCTCCTTGAAGCTGCAGCTGTGTACCGAGATGGTGCACTCCTCTTTGATATGGGTCTCTAATTCCTCCCTGGCCAGAACACTGGCGTCGCACCGGTTGGGACATTGGATGGGCACCCGGCCGCATTTCAAATGGTGCGCTGCCAAGGTGTCGGCCACGAACTCCTTGGCGCAGTACCTGTTGGATTCCGTAGAATGTTGAGGAGGAGCTTCACAAACGATAAGATTTCCACAAAATTTTCAAACACACGACATGTTGCAAAAAGGGCAATTCGTCTCGTGGGTGATGCCTCGCTTACAAACTCACTCACTTCTCTGGAACACCGTAAAAAAATTGGCGATCTGACTCTATTTTGTAGATATTTTCATGGACGATGCTCTTATGGAATATCAACAATCGTTCCTCCCTTGGCAGTCCCCGCGAGATTAGCCCGTCGAGTTGACGCTTCGCACCCCTTCGTGGTCAGGTTAGGTTGGGTTAGGTTGTGTTAGGTTAGGTTAGGTCATATCGTGCCTAATTTCCGAGAATGAAGGTTTATCGAACCTGTCCACAGGTAAATAATCCTTCAGGTTGGGAAAGTAGGATACATAAAAGTTTGGCAAGCCAAAGTTAGTTCAGTTCATGGTACCAGTATATCACCTGACGAAGCTACTGTGTTAGGGAAACATGTGTATTTGAGAATTTTGTGGAAATCTTATCGTTTTACATTTGCCATGGCTTTCCATCAAGTAACGGCCGAATCAATTCAAAAAGTTGAGGAGAAGTTAAATGTTTTTTTTGTCGCGTCCAGCTCACTTTATTTCCGGTTTCTTAACAATTTTAATAATAATCTATTTCGCAATTCGACTTGGGAGTCAAGTTTTGGTTTGAAAAATATGAAAAATGGACTACTTCATCGGGGTCACGTGACTTAAATTTTTTCAAGTTGATCGCTGAAAATAGACTTATTTGTTTGAATTTCAACAAAGTTTTCAAAGAAATAATGTTCAAATTCCAATTTCACTTATGTGTCTCGAATTCGAATGTCGAATTGAAGTATAACAACTTATTTTTCGATATTTTTCAATTTCCAAGAAATCTCCGTAACATAACAAAAACTTACTTCCTATCACCAATTAACGACAGAAATATGATTTCCTTCAGAAACTGATAATCCCCGCTTCAAATTTCTGTAATGTTTGATGCATAGTTGATGTATCATTTAGAAATGAAATGTATTCGAATGTATTGTTTCAGTACTAAAATGATGCCGAAGTCTTATATCAAAAATATCATCGAACTACTATACGTTTAGTTAAGGACAGTTTTCTCGAAGTTACATATAGAAAAAAATCAAAAAATGTCGAGAACTAAAAGTAGCAATAGAACGTTTGAATCCGAGACACATGTGTGAAATTGGAATTGAAACAAGTTTTCTTTTTCAACTTTCACGAAATTCGTGCAAATAGGTCTATTTCCAGAGGATAATTTGAAAATGTGTAACTTTGGACATGTCACGTGACTCCGACCGAATTGGCAATTTTCCATATTTTTTATAGCAAAACTCATAACGCCCAAGTCGAATTTCAATACTCCTCAGCTATCTCTCAATGAAACGAGTAGTTCGAACAGTCTAAAGTTGTTTTTATTCAGTGCCTAAAGGTCCCAATAACTCGCCCAATAATTATGATAGTGTACCTGCAGGGGATGAGTCGTTTGGAGCAATCGGCAGCCTTGTGTGGACTCAGATGTCTGCGTTGCACCTTGATGCCGCACTTGTTTTCACAGTAGAGGGGTTCGTAGCCGCAGTTTCCGCAATGGTTCTGTAATAAAAATGTACTGGTAACTGTCGACAAAACACACTGAAAATCCTATACAGGGTCCCAGCGACTTAATAGGAACAGTATTGCTATTTCCTAAACGGTAAGAGATAGAAAGTTGATTGAATGAGAAAAAAGTTGCGTTATTTGAACCTCTTCAATATGACGCTTTGCAATTTGTAAAAATGTCAGCCGTTGCTGAAATATTTTGGAAAAACCGGGAAAAATTGAAAATCACTGATTTTATTATTATTCATTTTCTCGGTTAATATCAGAGGCACCAATTTGAAATTATGTGTAAGCAGGTAATTAATCATGCCAAAGAAGTTGGGATTGTCAAAAATATTATATCTTCATTATTTTCGGAGATTCACATTGCAACTTTTGTTTTTATAATAAGCGCCATATTTGTTCTGTACACCATTCAATAGAGTCAAAAATTCCCCTCACAACCATGTACTTATAACATTTTTCCATGAAACAGCGCCAAAAAACGGTGAAAACATTTTCAGGGTATTGGCAATTTCTCACTCCTGTGAATTTTTCGTTTTTTCATTATTTTGTTATTTCTCCATAAGTAATACCACATAATATACCACATGTGAGTTCATCTTGCCGGAATTATTCGGCGATCGAAAGACAACTTGTTATGTATGTTATATGTATGTTATGTTATCTAACCGTATACCGGGTGTAACATGATCATGGTACACCCCCATTTTCTCGTTTAGTTCCAGAGATAAGTGACTGAAATTTGGAATGATCCATCAACTTGATAAATGTCGAGATAAATGTCATGTTTTGACATAAATATGTTTCATTTTCCACTTTCGGTTTCACCGGAAGTGATGATAACTTTTTGATTTTCATATATCATTGCATTTTGAAAAAACCTGCATCATTTTATGGATCTAATGATACCACTTAAGTAACATTTCAAGCTTCGATATAGATTTTTAATTCATTTTTGATTTTCCATCTGAGTGTGCCTGATCGGTTCTGATGTACTCATATCGATTGGCTTAATGCTAAAAATAATTGAATCCTGTCAAAAATGTAAAATGTCTTGATTTTTCACCAAATTAAGTTCATCAAAATGGTTTGGTGTACCATGATCCTGTTACACCCAGTATAGGCGAGTAGTTTGGAATTATTTGAATCAATGTCATGAACAAAATTGAAGCAGCAAACTGGAGAATGCCGATTGATAAACTGCTAATCAACTGAACAAGAAGCACATTCTTGCGCAGAATTCAACATTGCATATTTTTCTTGAATACCTACGCGGTTAGATTGATGCAGTAAGTTCAATAATATTTAGTAAGCAAAATATATCGATGTAATGAAATAGTCTATTCTGATTGGTTCTCGAAAATGATAGCAGAATACTCAACAATATCAATATTCCTGTAGAAATGAGTCAAACCCTGAAGTGGAGGAGAACGAACAGCTTTTTCAGGAATGTCTCTTCTCTGCAACTCCATTACAATGAAGCAAGAAAACATTCAATATTGTATAAAATGGCGTATAAAAAATGGCGTTTGTTGAATATTGCTCATCGCTCAATTTTGTGAATGTCATTGCTGCTTTCTTTGTGTAGTTTTATAGAAATAATGGAAATGAATACGAATTCACCCAAAAATATCATAAAAAATGCAAACATTGCTTCGATTAATTTATTGCCGGAGAAATTCAGACTCGTGTATATACGGTAAGGATTATGAAGTATTCAAGTTGTAATAGTATATATTATTCAACGAGCGCATAATGATGGCTATTACCCACGAAGATGAAAGTTGCAGTACGAGCCAAAGGCGAGTGCTGTAATCATCTGAGTGGGTAATAGTCATTATGCGCAAGTAGAATACTATACTTTATCTACAACTATTCAAATATCAAAGCAACTCTGAGAATTCAGGAATATATTTTTGGAAAAAATGAAGGTTATTATATTGCAAAATCACTAAATCTGATTTGAAATACTCATTTATTTCATCGAGAACCCATTGACAGAAATTTCATTGAACGAACAGCTTTTATAACTTATTTCAATAATTTTGATTGTGAAAATATGATAAACAATGTTGGATATAACTTTATAATCACATATCAGCCAATCTCACCAGGTATTATATGCCATTTCACTTTTCAGTTGTAAAATGAATCATACAATTGCAGATTATTCATTAACTTGCTTCGGCTGGAGCGTTCCCCAACCGCGATGATTAATTGTAGTACCCTGTCTCTAGAAGCTAGTTATCAACAATAAAATTCCATGATGGTTCTGATTGGTCTGTACTAATCTATTCGAATAGCCTGTTAGTGTGATAGTGTGAGCAAATCTGCAACTGTCAAGTGTCAAGTCCTATTTTATGGTAATGGTTATTCATGCTGGTTGTCACTGTTGAGGATGGAAAACAGTGAATTCTCATTTTTCCGTGTATTTGTAGAATTGAGGTGATTGAAACTATGAGACCATGTAAGGTGAGTCTTTTGAATTTGCGAACTAGTAGAACGAATACCTACCTAGTTGAATTTGACAAGACGATGGGATGTCAGATTATTACGCCACCCTATTGTCATTATTACCAGAGATTCACGGCTTGACTTGATATTCAAGCTACTTGACTTGACTTGACTTGAAATCAAGTCAAGTTCAAGTCAAGCGAAAGTTTTTTAATGTCAAGTCAAGTCAAGTAATTATTTATCAAGTACTTGAAAAATCAAGTAGTTCTATCAAGCTACTTGATTTTCAGCAGTTTCAATGTGTATCTATACAGCGTGAATCACGGTCGATGTTATAGGTTAGACGTTTATGGAGAACGCGACGCGGGATGTTTCTGAAAATTTCGCATACACAAAAAATTCCTGAAGTTGAAAAATCTCGATTTTTCGCACTCTATATCTCCATAATCATTTCCGCTATACCCCGAGTGTGATGTATCGATGAAATCAACTCTTCAAGGAGAATCTGAAAATGCAATAAAATACAGGGTGTTCAATTCGAAATAACAAAGTGGTTCCTACTTTTCTATAGAAGCGGCAACGTCGTGATTTTAAAACTATATTAGATCGATAGTACCGATGATGAAATGTGAGATGCGAAATTTTCAGAAAAATCCTGCGTTGCGTTCCTATCATAAACGTGAACGTCTAACCTACCATCGACCGTGAGTCACCCTGTATATAACTGATGAAATGAAAATGACATCGTAAGACTGACTGCGCGATCGATTCAGTCAGCTCGGATCTCGGGGAACCCCCGTATTTTGTCTAAGCGTGAGCGAGCTTGCAGAAATATACGCCGTGCGACTCGTGCGTATCAAGATCAAGTATTATCAAGTAGCTTGATTTCAAGTCAAGTAATAAATATCCCAAATTCAAGTCAAGTCAAGTACGTAATTTGCCACGAGCTTGATTTTCAAGTCAAGTCAAGTAGTTTGTTAAAATATCAAGCTACTTGACTTGATGAATCTCTGATTATTACTCTTATTACTCGATTCATCACAATAATGTCTGTCATTAAATGTCGAAAATCGAGTAAGCAATGTATGAATGGCTCTATAGTTGTAGATAAAATAGTATTTTGATTTCAGAAACGCTCTCTCTCTCTCTCTAGAAATCTTCTCGTCAACTTTCAAATCACCCAGTAAAAAGACTTTTTATGGCTGGCTATGTAGCCATACATTTTGATGATAATTTCGGTTATAGCAGAGGTTATGGTAACAAAATAGTTCAGCAGTTCATTAACATTTTCTGTTTATGTTTCACTCTTTCGGAATGCCATGTGTCATCTTAGAATATGCGTTATTGTAAATTTGTAAACAGGGACAACTTTTATATGTGAGTGATCATGATGAATTTGATAGGCGATATTAGTATTCAAGAAGACCAACAATCCTACGATTGAATTTTCAGTTATGTATTTTAATTTCACAGTCTAGGAATATGATATCTAATTTTAATATAATTTACACGCAGTGCTTACTGCTTATCTGAAATAAGTATTTTTTTCTACTCACATAACTAAAATAGCATTTATCGTACGGATTTGTACCACGCTAAATGATCGATTAATCACGGATTGTCGATCTGTGATTTATTCAAAATATTAAACACGTTACCATGGCAACACGATTTCTTAAACACATCACCATGGCAACGCAGTTCATTAAACACAGCTTCAGCAATTCGAGACATGTCTGTCCTGTCAATTGTATTAACTGTCAACTGTTATTTTCATATTTTGTATCAGAATTATTCAAACAATATTCGTTTGTATCGGAATTCTTCATTAAAAATATATGCGAAAAGTAGACGAGAGTGAAATCGAAGAGAATGTTCAGGTACTTACATACCTCCAAGAAGTGTAAAAATGAAGCATCCATCTTTGAGACCAAGTTATTTATTCTGCGCTAAGCATGACAAAACGTGAAACAAAGGTTAGTAAGCAATGGACTGGACAGATCTACAACCAATATCACTTATACGTGTCACGCTGGTTGCATGCAGTTGAATGTATTATGTTTTCAATTCCCATTCCTTTCGAATTATTTTGTAGGTTAGCAGGAATAGCAGGTATGTTAATTAATGTAATTTTTGGAGTTCGTAGAAAAATCATAGTATGTAACGCGTTTATAAACTCTTCTAGACACTCGTTTATTAAACACTCGCTCCGCTCCGCTCTGCTCCGCTCGTGCTTAAATTACTCGTTACTAAAAGGACGTTTATAACACTTGTTACATAATATACTAATAATCAATAATTATAGGATATTTTAGTTTTTTGGATCCCACAAGGCCATATGGAAGAACAAAGTAAAGATCCAATTTTTGATCGGATCATAATTATAACACCATATGACACTGAATAATAATATGGTCTTTTTCAATAAGTATAGTTGGCTTTTTAATTTCCTTTTTATACTGTTTTATGTTAAACTGCTTACTTATTGAATAAATAATGAATTTTAAATAATTATCATTTTATAAATATATAAATGTATTATAATAACAAATAATAATAGATAAAAATATTGGAGAGAATTTCTTGAATATACGCCTTACATTCCTTATCAATTCAGTTATTTCGAAATAGCTGACAATGTAATAAAATTGTATGGTAAGATAATTATTCAAAAGATGAATGACTCAATTATATGCCCACAACATATCTATTTCACCAACAGAACTATTTAAACTTGCATTAATAGTGATGTTATAATGCTCGCCAGTTAGAATGAGAAATAAGTCGGAAATAAGTATACCTACTCACTTATTCATCGACTTGAAAGTACAGGGTGTTGTGTAATTCGACCGACAACGCTTCAAAGGTGTTTTAATATTATCTAAGGGTGGGGACATAGGGTCTTCAAATGTTCAGTTCACGGGATACAAGGCATCAAAGTTGAGAAATAATAGTTATTTAGGATATACAGGGTGTCCGGAAATTATGCGCAAAAATCAAGGGAGTGATTCTGTATGAGAAAACATGAAATTTATTTCATATATACTTGAGTCCGGAAATGCATAGTTTTCAAGCTTCAGTGTGTTAAACTTTCTAGAAAAAGTCGTTTTTTTATGAATATCTCGAATATTCTTTCACCAATTCTTCTGAAATTTTGTTATGATATTCTTTGTCATGAGGGGCAGATTTAGCCATTCTCAAATTAGAGTTGTGGAATCCAGTGGCGTCTTGGGGGCACCCCACCGAATATTATTGTAAATGAATTGTGCGCCCTTGATTTTTTTAAATTCTCTATATCCATATCCTATTGATTAACTGAAAATACAACATTTTAGTCTCTCGAATTGTGTTGCAATTTTGCTGCGTTTCCGTGGAAAAAATAAATACCAATTCATTGTATGAATTTGTGCAAACATTGCTTCACAAACAAGGGTGAAATTAAATGTGTTATCCATGTCCATAGACGTAGAATAAGAATTAAGATTCATTATCTTCAAATATTTTATAATACATGTTTGACACACTTTGTTTTATTGAAAACTAAGCCTTCCTGGACCGAGAAAACATAGTTCCCAATATACAGAGTGTATAAACATGTATCAAGGAATATTTGGAGAAAATGAATCTTCATAGATATTCTATATCTATGGACATTGATCACGCATTCATTTTCACCTCAGTTTTTGTAGGAATTTTTAGGCACAAATTTATGCAATAAATTGGTAATTATATTTTTTTCCATGGAAATGAAGCAAATTATCAAAATAATTCAGGAGACCAAAATGTTGTATTTTTAGTTGGTCAATAGGTTATGAAGATACAGAATTCAGAGAAATCAGTGGCGCACATTTTATTGACAATAATATTCGGTGAGTTGCCTCCCGGGACGCCACTAGATTTTATAATTCCAATTGACTTATGGCTATATCAGCCCCTCATGACAAAGAATATCATTGCCAAATTTCAAGAAATTTGGTTGAAGAACATTTGAGATATTCATAAAAAACCGATCTAGTTTAAAAGTTTTAACACACTGTATGTTGAAAACTAAGCATTTCCGGACCCACGTACATATAAAAAAATTTCTCATTTCATCATGTAGATTTTGTGCGCATAATTTCCGGACACCCTGTATAAGAAAAGAATAATCATAGATTTTAGTTCGAGTTAGTAATGTCAATGCCTCTCAGCTATCTGCTCAACGAGAAGAGGTATTGGCCTCGGTATTGGCTTAGATATTGTTCAACGAAAAGAGATGCAAGGGTGACTTCATAAAAACTTTCATCATTCAAGATTAATCATTCAAACATTTGAGACTTAAGAGTCATAAGTGGAGACAATTATTAAAAAAAAAAATAAGATTCTAGGGCGATACCTACATGTCTTCTGTCATTACTGACATCTACCCAGCTAGCATTCACACGTCATTTCCACGTCATATACGCGTCAGCAATTACATCAAGATGACCAAATTATCGACGTGAAAAAGACGTAAATGTGACGTTAATAGTTACCAAGCATCAGGTCCAGGTTTCGACATCACCAAGAAGGCAAGAAACTGTGAAACTCGAAATCACTTTCCCATGATCATATTCCTTGATGGTTGGCAAAACAGTTCAAATGATCTAGTTACAATAGTTGGGGAAATTTTTTATTTGTTTACATAATTATACATAGGTATTCTCCATCTGAATAGAACTGATAAGCATAAGATCCACTATATTCCATAGTATAGGCATAAACGAAGATGTCAAGTTTCAAAGAAATCTCAACCTAATAACCTCAAATTATTCTTGTGCCTAAGATTTGAGGTATTTTATAGATTACCTTCTTCAAATAACGACCTCACTACATCAAACAACTTCCAAGTTTCATTTGTAGATTTCGCTTTCTTAATTTTTGCTGTTTGAAAGATGGCCACTATACACTTCGCAGCCTTACGAGGCGTCATGGCGTCAACCAATTCTATACTGAACTGAACCGTACTGAACACCCATACTACCATTTATATGTTGACATATATAGCTTGATTGGTTCCCGAGATACAATACATATAGTTTGTCAGAGTTTAAAAAAAAGTTTTTTCCCGCTTTTTGGGTATATATTATTATAATTCCAAAAAAAGTTGCATGTTGATTTGGTTCAATGAAATATACTCCTATTATAAAGACGTACATATTTCTATAAATGTGTGTGAAATTTATAGAAAAAACGAGTTTTTCTGTAAACTTTTCGACACTGATAATGCCCATCCTGTATATATAGGTGCATAGGCTTAGAGATGGTCTGGGAAAAATGGAAGTCGAGAGGACGTCCCTGCAACGTCATGACACTGACGTCTCATTTCACCCATTCAATCACTCGACGTCGGGATGATGACGTGATTATCACGTCATAAAAAGTACGTCATAGTGACGTCATAAATTGATGTGTGACATCTCTGACGGAAAATCACCAATCAGGGACGTCACAGTGACGTGATCATTCGTCATCTGGTTGCCTGGGCATTGATGCATGAATACTTTATCTTGCAGTAAGATTAACAGATGAAAAGTTCAAGATGGCGACTGGGCGCTATCTGGGGAAAAATTGAATAGAAATGGGTGACTTGTGATACATCTTCTTGAAGCTCCTGACGAATACTTAACAACCCTAGAATATATAGTCACCACTCTCCACCTACTACAAAATTATTTTTTTTAAGATTTCAACTAGATCAGCACTCGTCTTTGTTACTATTGAGAAATCCCACATGTGGACTTCTTCCACTGAGATTGCCATGGTACAAAGATTCGTGCATCTAGCTAAAATGATCAAAGAATCACCACTATTTGTATAATTACTGTTGATGATTCAGTTCCTAATACGTATTTACTAGTGTATGTACTGATTGATTTCAAAGGCTCTGTTGTACTCCTTTCCTGTTCCACGTCTGCCCAAATTGCAACAATTTTCGATTTTTGAGTAGTACATCCTCTCTCGAGTAGTATGCCGCGATAATCACCCTATAGTTACAAGTCTATACTGTCTATATTATGAAACTATGAACACTTCTTACCTCTAAAGCATGTCCGGTAAATTCCTTGTTACAAAATTCACACCTAGTCCTTCTCTGAGGGCAAGTGTACTTGAGATGGTCTTCCATGAGCACCCTGGGAATTTGCGCCCCACACTTACTCGTACAAGGAATGGCGTCGTGTTTACAAGTATTCAGATGTCCCTGCAAAATGAATTTCAATTTAATTGGTATATATCATACTAACAGACCTCGCAAACGTTGTTTTTCTAGATATATCATTTCTATAATATATTTTTTCAGTTTAATATTCATCAAAGACACTATTATTATTTTATTTTCCACTTCTTTTTAGTTTCGCTATCTATAAAATAGTGTTTCTTAAGTTTTTCAAACAACCAGCAAACTCCGCAATATTGGATCTACCATCTTGAATTTCCTAATTTTGACAAAGGAATCATAATTTTTGATCCCAAAAACGGCTATAACAAATTTTTTAATAGAATCGGTTTTTGAAAAGTCTCCCTCATTGTAACAATAATACATCCAATGAGCCATCATACTCCATAGTGTAAGTAAATGGTGCAATACCTTCAGCTGGCACGTGAAAATAGTAAACCAGATAAGTCATTCTACATATTACGAGACATATTATTACAACGTGCATCATTTTTATTTTGGTATTTAGTTCATTCATTCCATGAAAATCCATGGAAATAACTGAATGGAATTAGTGTCGATCATATAGGATATACTCAAATCAACTTATTCGTTTGACGTGATATTACATATTTCCATTCATGGATAATGAGCTGAATCTATAAGGATTCACCTTATTTTAGTGTTTCGGCGATATTGTCTCATTTCCATCTTGTATCCCAACTTGAACGCATACGCACCAGAAATCGCAATAATATTGAACCCATCGTACCAATTCCATTCAAAATGAAAACCCAAGATGATGTAAGAAAATATCAGTGTGGAGTAATATGTTGTAAGTAACTCACATTTTGGAGAAGTGTCCATTGTAATATTAAACAAGTTGATAACGAGTTCTTAGAATTAAGCCATCGATATGTTATTCAAATTGTCTTGGTCAGTCAGTGGAAGAAAGAGGAATAACATCTTGCAATTGGAAATATGATAAAAATGTGTATCCCAAAGATTATAAATCGAAGTATATGTTCTCCTGGGGCTTATTCAGCCTGTTTAGTTTTCGTTAGGGCACCACACATTAACTAGCATGTCCTTAAAATCTATCCCTGATTTACTTCATTCCCACAATTATTGAGTTCGTACTTGCTGATGGGTATACCACAAAAAATAATGATACTAATCTTGAACCAAATCTGTTATCTGTAGATTATCTCTGAAATAATCATTATTGAATTCGAACGGATTATTATTAAACTTTCTTCAATGCACCTGCGTATACCTTTATGGAGATTAGGGAATTGCATAGTGAATTGGGCTGTAGGTCATAGCGCGCCGCAGTCAATTTAACCTTTACCGGTTAGAAAATGAACACAAAAAGGGAGGACTGATTGCGCAGACAAGACAAGAAAAATACTTTAGGCCGAGTAAGGTTAGATTGTTTAGAAAAAGTAGAAATGATCCTTCCTCACGATTTTGTTAAGAGCGTTTCGTATCAAAAAGTTTAATCCACGCGCAATTGACCCATAATACCGAAGGTAACTCGCGCGCAATAATTGTCCTATATTCATTCTCTACTACCTGACAATGTTTTTTCCGCTGAGCGGAATAATCCGTTGCCCTTGAATTGTGTACTCAGTGATAGCTGACAAGACTATATCCTGGCAATAAATTTTCATTATCCAGCTTTATTCATCAATGTGTTTTTAATGTATATAACAACTGAACCGTACCATATATTGTTGGTAGAGTCCAGTCACCCTGCTTATTGAAAGGACTATTTCATTCATCACATAATCCGACCAATCACCGTGAGCTTATCGCGAAAACATTAGCTGTCGTTCAATCCTGATTGGTCTTTCAGCGTTCATATGTTTTCAAGGATATAACCATGGATTGCGAAGCAAAGTCTGTCAGTTTGGCATAAAATAATTACCGCTGTACTTGTCAGAATGAAGCATCCATTTCTATTAAATGCTTTTTATGCTTCGTGAACGTGAAATAGTCTAACAAAATACTACTCTGTTCTGAATATCTTTTCATAATTTTGTCTTTCATTGTTAACTCGTGGTGTTCCTCGGCAACACAATTTCGTGAACAATGAAGCGACAGAATTATCTCGAATATTCATAACATCGTGATAATACTTATGATAACGCTCACTTTGAGCCAGGAACTTCGGAAAACAGATTTTTTTCTGAAATTGAAAAGGCTTCGAATAACCTTGTTGCTTCACCTTGTAAGACTTGTACAGTTGAAAGGTCATTTAGTAGCCTTCGGAGAATCAAAACTTGGTTGAGGAGCACCATGTCTGAAGCTCGACTCAATGGCCTCGCAATGATGAGTGTACATAGGCAAGATATTTTCAAGAACTTGAACGATTTCGTCAACAAAGTGACCAACGAATTCACAAAGAACCCTAGAAGATCAGTGTCCAATTGATTTTCTATATAATTTTTTTCCGTTTTTTAATTTTTTCATTGAACTCTTCTTATTTGATTTTCCTCTTTAATTTTTTATGGTGCCCCCCTAGGTTTCCGGCTGACGACGCCCTTGGTTGGTATCGTACCCTTATTGCTTACCTTCAATTTCCTCAGCTCATCGGACCATTTACAGCCTTCTTTGTGATGAATGCAGTAGACCACTGAGCTCATAATAGCCTTCTCAGATTCGGGATCAGAGTATATCTGAAAAATAAAAGAAAGCTTTTCAATGAGAATCATAAGCACATCCTATCCTATTTTGTTCCCATCTAACGGTTCAAATTTGTTCAAATTGAATGGATGGGCTTGTCACACTGCATATATCATGCTAGAAGTATTTCATCTATGAGATAAATGCGCGAGACTGACACTTGTTTGAATGTTAATCCTTTTCTCACCAAATGACAAATGAGTCAATGGTCGAGACTTATTTTTAATGTATGGTAATATATTACTCTGGCGTATATGAGAATGTGAATCATGTTCTTTGTACTTGTGCTTTTGATGAGTTGTCGGAGCATCTAATGGCTATTATTCACATTATTACTCAACTGAACAAGTTACAATTAAGATTCCTGTGTGGTTGGATCGTTTTATGAGCTTATATGAAATTCTTCAACACTATCTTCTGACTGCTTCATTATATGGCAAAGAAGCACTGTTCATGGAGTTACAGCATCGCATAGGTATTTCTCATTCATTAAAGATAATGCGGGGTTAAATGATTGAATAATTGTTTCATAACACATTTGGCAAGAAGTAACAAATGAGGATCCCACACCATATCAGAGACATATAATTTACCACATAACCTACCAAGGGTGCGTACGATTATCAAGTCTCAGATTAGAGAAGGCTGGTTGAGTTTTTTTTTCCGGATTGAAAATTTGAGTTCGGTTTGTCAGGCAGTAAGTTTCTTTCATTTGATTCAATACATGAATTGAAAAATGTTACTGTGCATTTCATCTATGGCAAATTGGCCAGGAAAAATCATTTAAAGTGGGATCAAGATCAATATATAGAAACAGACAGCTATAGCAACATGTTGTTGACACAAATAAATAATTTTTAGTGTCACCTGTATCAATGTTGGGATCATGTTTAGACTATACAATGTTGCGAGTAAGTACATACAGTAAAATTCACCTATCGATTTTGTTGAGTTACAAGAATCAATTCAATGTCAAAAACTCGAGTATTTTCCAACGGCAGTCATAGACTAGAATATACACAATTAATGACAAATTTCTAAAGCAAATGATTGAACTCTATTCGTTGGAGGACGTATATTCGAACGCACTCCAATATTGGTTTGATTTGGTTTGAAAGATTTATTTAGCTTTCGCTAGTTTCACATCATATTTTTTACAATTATAAACATATTCACAAAGTATAAATTCTTGAAATAACTGTTAACTATACGTATAAACTATACTAAATCTTAAAGTAAACTAGTAACATATTCTTGAAAATTTTAATATTTGGTGCAACTTTGACAATAAGTGGGAGGCTGTTGAAATGATGCAATCCCTGGACGAAAAGAAATTTTTGTAGAACATTCGAATGCTATATGAAAATTTTCTTTTGACCTGACGTTATATCTATACATAGGAGCCTGTTTGTTCATGATTTTGTATATCAGTAATAAATTTGATTCTTCGATCATTTGTTCAACATTTAGAAATTTCAGCATCCTAAGCATATCTGTAATATTTGTGTGTCTATCACATTGGAGTAATATTCTCATACACTTATTTTGCCGCTTTTGAATTCTCTGTATATCACTTCTTGTGCAAGAGGTAAGTAAAGACATACAATATTGAAAATGTGGATAAATAATGGTGTTATATACTACTCTTCTAGCCCAAAATGTTAGTTTTCTAGATATTCTTCCATATTATCCAAATTTTTTTCCTAATTTTTTACAAAAATTATTCACTTGTGGCCCAATGTTCAAATATGAATCTACTTGTACCCCTAAGTACTTAATCTCCTGCACAAAGTCAATCACTTCCTGTTCGATATGAATAACGTGGTTTTCGTTTGAGAATGCATGACTTACAGTTATTTTTTGAGCCAAGAACCATACATTTCGTTTTCTTTACATTAAGCTTCAACCTATTATATTTCAACCAGTTACTTAATCCTTCGAGTTCTGCATTCATTTGAATAACTACTTCCTCATGATATATAGCTGATATTTAAGAAAATCCTTAGACAGGTCGATCTTTATTTTTTCAAATCTATTTTTTCACGTGAAAATTTTCAACCAACCTACCACCTCCTGCACTTCAAATCATACCCATTATCCCTTTACCTTCAACATTTTTGAATTGTTCGAGTGGTTACATCTTACAAGTTACATCTAGTTAGTGAGATATTTTCTATATCTATATAAAGATATATTTTTTCCTATTTTGTTTCTATAATGAAGTCATTATGACACCCAAATGCGTATGGAAACAGTTTATATTTGGACACGCTGAATTCCTTGTTTCAAAGTTGGTAATGGTAACGTCAACGTCAAACTATCAGACACACTAGAATCTAGAGACAGAACGCAACAAATAACAAATATAACATTACAGGTATCTTAGCATCAGAATGTATTGCAGAAGTTGAGGGCTGAGAAGAAAACATTTGAGCTACCTACCCAAATTGTTCTATTCACTGAAGCTTATATTCGAATAATATGTACTTAATAACCTTCAGCAACTGCTGCCTCTATTAGCTAAATGAAACATACTATAAAACGCCGAAACAATGCCCTTCAAAAATTTCAGGATTAGGTGATTCAAGGTATTCTGCAATGATTTTTGGCATTTGAGTAATAGGACTTTTTATACAGTAACGATTTGCGGTATATATAGGTAAACAAGTAGGTATAACGTTTACATTGACATATTGTGGTTGTATAAGTGACCAGAGGTTTCTTGGGCAACCAACAAATCATTTATAGCCGTTTGGGCAACTTGAGTTTGCTTCTTCAGTCATTCTCAAAATAAGAAATTCAGAATTATGATAGACCAACAATATCAAATTAATTTGAATAATTTCTCTACCATCTGCCAAATTTGGTAATGAGGATTCAAATGTTTTTTTTTATTGTTACCAGCTATATAGTTACTTCTTTTCTATATAATATTTGATGTTTTTATTGATGAATGAAAAAAAAAGAGTACAAATGAATACATAATAGAAAAAATTGTATATTAAACACGTTTTATGACAGTATTTTGCCGCACGCTCCAAAAAAAAATGTGCGACAATATGTCTTATAAAACGTATAACATACTATTCTGATTCGCAAAGGCACAGGCAAAAGATTTAAAATTTACTGTTTATATTATAATATGAATATAATACAATATTAAATACCTAACAGAAGTTCGATTATTGAAATATTCTTTGAACAATTCGAAGACTTCATCAATATTTATTGATTGAGGTTGATTTCAATGTATATATTCGAGCTTGTTTATCGTACTCATATACACATAATTATATGTAGACCTAGGTAGGTACCTATAAATATTACAAGGTCTTGTACATTCGTGAAAATATCATCAAATTAAATAAAACTGGATAATTGTATATTCTGGCCGAGATTCTGGACGACTAACATCACACTTGATCTTGAAAATGAGTGTAACAATTGAGAAACATTCGTAAGAACAATATAGCGTTTAATCCTTATAATAATTACTGCTATCAAGGTATCATCATATAACAATAATACTCTTCACAATAGTATAGGTACCTACTTACTCATAAAAGAGAATAAAGGCGTAGAATGATAAGTATCAATTGAGAAGTACAGTTTTTCGACTTACTTTATATCACGGATGGCTAAAAGCTTCCTATAATATTTTCTAGGTTATTAACCTGGCCTCAAATATCCATAATGCGACTTCTTTCAAGTAGCGAATAAATGCATCAAAGCGTATCAGAACGTTTATTATAAATTCATAGAGAGTTTATTATTCGTCAATTTGGAGTTTTGATGATAAAATAGAGTGTTTAGCTTTTAGGGCTTTTAGGAGCAATTGCCCCCTCCTAGTTTTCTACTAAATATAATTTCACTATGAGTCTTCCTGTATCAATACAATACAATACAATACAATATTTTATTCATCCCAAATAGATCACTTTACAATGATTTAGTGAATGTTGATAGATAGGTATGTATATATACATACAATTAATCATACATATGAACGTTCACTTTTATACATAATATGTAAAAAAATAACAGAAGGAACAAAGTGGGAACATTATAGCACAAAGTCACAAGCATTAAAAACATTTTGAAATTTATATTGAAGAATTCACCGCTTGAATATAAACTTACAGAGGCTAGTAGTGTCTTGACTCTTCTCTTGAGAAGGTGAATTGAAGTTATTGTTTCAATTTCGGTAGGCAGACAGATGATATACCTAATTCCGGACAATGTAGGTGATTTTTAGTATAAAGTTGTTCTATGTTTTTCTGTTCTAATTAAGTTAACACTTCTTGTTTGGATATCTGATGTGAAACTGAAAGTTTGATTGTAACTCACTTTCAAATTTTTTTATGTGCACAACACAGCAATAGATGTAGGTACATGGTGTTGTAAGAATTTTGTACTATTTTTCCCTATAGGTACTTCCACGGAGGATAATAGTTACTGAGAAAAGAGTCAGTATATATCCATTTAACAGTCAACACTACCTAACCAATAATTTCTCATTCAGAAATTTTTTGATTTTTTCGTATTTATTTATTTGAAGTTCCTTCATTTTTGCTTTTTCGTTATCAAAATACTTTTCATCTCCCTAGATTCTTTGGGATTTCCTGAGGGATATCCTCTCCTAGTTTCTAAAAATAAAAAATTTAAGGAAACAAAAATGTCTCTGCGTTCAAAAGATGTTACTTCTATACAACTGGGAGGGAAATCTGTTACTAATAATCAGTGCCACCTCATCCTTATTACACATATGAGTATTGGAATTTGGAATGAGGAATTTCTTGTATAGATAACGAAAATCAGTTTCCCTGGTTGATAATATGATGATTGGATGGTGTCTTCTGAAGACTTATGTGAAGTTGGCGCCGACTTTTTTGAAAAACTGAATTTTTACCGGAGTTCTGGGTAGATACGAGGAAATAACCGAAAAACAAAATTGTGGGTGCTAACTTCACGCGGCGCCACTTCCTTCACAGAA